TACAGGGCTAGGGTGGCATCAGTGGACCAGCATGAGGACCCAAGCCATGGAGTCAAGATGACTGAAGGACAGGACAAAAGACTGGGTCTTACATGGTCCTGCCAGGTCACTGCATCAGACCCCACCTGCTTATCTTTGGGCTTCTTATTCTGTGAGAAGATAAAACCTTTAATATATTCAAAGCACTGTTTAGTCACATTTTCAATTTCTTGCAGCTGAGTCCAACCCACACTGACATGGATTTCCTCCATGTCTGTTAAGAGTCTGCTCAGTTATATGTTCAGAGGGGGTGGTGACAGAGGCTTCCATCTGTAAGGATGTGGCAGATGCTGCTGGTGCCCTGACCATCAGCCCTTCATGCTCACTAGTTCTCTGACGCCAGCCTGACTGCCATCTGCCAATACCCATGATTCTTTGCTGGAGGGCGCCCTCTGGTTATGGATTCTGCTTTGTTTTCCACCTGGGGCAGGAGAGGGAGCTCTAGGGAGTACTGGCCCCTCCCTTCTATGGGTGGGGAGTCCATGAAGGACGGAGTTGGTGTGTAACTACCTTGGCTCCCTAGCCTCTCAAGTGGGGCAGATTCGGGGGGGGGGGGCTTGTAGTACAAGCTCAGGCCATGGTTCCTGCTCAACCAGCACTGCAAAAATCTGGACTATTAGCCATTCACCAACCCTTCTTTTTCTCCATAATTGTCTGTGATCCACATGCCCTCTGTGTCAGACTGATGCAGAATCATCAGTGCAAGGCCCAGCCTGGGGGGCATTCTAATGAGGTTGCTATTGGTGGCCAGAAAAGAAGACAAATGGAGAAGGCACCAACACCAGGTCTGTAGCTTATGGTGAACTGGGCATTTTATTGTGCATAGGTTGACTTTTTTCGGTTCTCATTCCTTCTGCAGGTTATCAGAAGGTCATTAATCATGTTTCAAAGCCAGGTGTGGTGGTATACACCTGTAAGCTCAGCACCATGGGAGGTTGAAGCCAGAGGATTGGAAGTTTGATCCCAGCCTAGGTAACTTAGCCACTTAGCAAGACCCTCTCGTGAATACGAGAAAAAAAAATGGGCTGGAGATGTAGCTCAGTGAAATAGCCCTGTTCATCTGCCAGTACCACCCCTTGACCTCTAAAAATGCATTTTTCAGGTAGTACCCAGTTAGAATACAAGTTTGCAATAACTTTAGTTTTTAATAATTTTTTTTAGAATGAGGAGTATGCTTGAAGAATAGAGCTAAATCATATGTCCCTATTGTTCAAAGAAAAATCTCTGATTTAAACTAATGTGTCCCACTGACAAAGTTGGTTCAGAACCTAGTCAGACCTTGGGTCTGAGGGCCAGGCAGATTAAACTACAATTGGTGTAGAATATTCCAAGTTGTATTAAGACTGACTTGTTCCCTCAGGCCAGGGAGAAACATACTACTGTCTGAAGCCAAAATGGGTCCAACACCCATTTTTGTAAATAAAGTTTTATTGGAACACAGCCATGTACATTGGTTTACATAATTCCCATGGCTGCTTTTATGTTACAAAATAGAGTTGATTAGTTTTTAGAGTCTCTTTGGCTTAAATATTTACAGTCTAGAACTTTATGGAAAGATTTGCTGACCCCTGTCGTAGGCAAGCACCAAATACCATACCTCCACTGCCTCTTCAGGAAATACCGCCTCACTCCCTGCCTCCACCTCCTGGGAAGTTCCACTCCAATTCCTGGAAGGGCATTTCTGAGCCTTCAGTGTGACAGAGTCATCTGACAATCTGTTGTTAAAAATATAGGTTCTGACTCAGTACTTCAGGATGGGGCCCAAGGCTGTGTTACTAAAAAGCTGGCAGGACGCATGGGGCGCTGAGGACAGCGCTGTGAGGTCAACACTCTGAGGGTCTAAGTAACTGGATTTACCTCACTGGAAAACTTTTGTTTTCATGTGGTACTGGAGATCGAATCCAAGGCCTTTACACTGAGCTACATTATCAACGCTTTTTCATTCTATATTTTGAGGCAAGGTTTCATTCAGTTGCACAATTGCCTTGTCTGGGCTCAAATTTGGGGTTCTCCTGTCTTGGCCTCCCAGTGCTGGGCTCCCCGGCATCACCCCGGGTGCTAAACAGCTTCTGACTGATATTGCTCATGGTTGGGTCTTGCCAGGCAAAACATGGCCGCCCTGTCAGATTCTCCGCCTGGCCCTTCACAGCACACCAACCTCACAGGGAAGCCCAGCCTCCCCTTTCTAATGAGCTCCGCTCTGCTGAGAGGCAACTTCAGAGTTAAAGCGCTGTGACGCCAAAAGCAGGAGAGCTGCCAGGACTCTAATTAGTCTCCGTTTTTATATTTAGTTTGCTATTAGATAATGCACGACACCTGCTCACTAGACAGATCTGTTTTTAATCTCCTGTTTCCCTTTCTTGGCCGTGTGGCAGCATAGCCATGTTGCACTGCATGAGTAATAGACTGAAAGCCAAATCAAATAGCCGTTTCTTTAGAATTAGAAACACAACAGTGACTAAAAACAACTTTAGCCTGCTTGGGGCCGCGCAGGAGGTGCTGGTGGGGAAGACAGCTCAGTGTCTGGAACGAGGCTGCCAGAGCTCAGAGTTCAGGCTTGGACTGCTTTCTGCTCCACTGAGTGTTTGAAATGCATTTCTCACTCTCAGAAGGGAAGAGGAAGAAGTTAGGGAATAATCTCCTTCTGCTGTCCCCACCCCTGAATTGGGCATTGAATCCAGGGCCTTCACCCTGAGCTACAGCCTTGGCCATCTTTCATTTGTCCCTCTGAAGCGGGGTCTTACTAGGAGGCTAGGTTGCCCACGCTAGGCTACAACTTGTAATTCCCTTGCTTCAACCTCCGAGAGTGCTGGTTTTCCTGGACTACACCATGGCTCTCTGCTTTGCTGCTGGGTTTTAAGCAGACAGCAGGCACACAGTCTGTACAGAAATGATCTAGCTGTTTCTAATTTTGATTTGATTATTGCACTAATGTGAAGTTGCTCTAAATATTCTCAGGACCCTTAGGGGTCCTGAGACCTTTTTCCAGATGCTGTCAGTGAACCAGAAATACCGAATCCATCTGCAAACTTTCCTTCTTGGGTCCTTGGGCTTACTATCTGTTTGGCAATGGCTGGAACTGACAGACAGATGTGGAAATTCAAATCCATGAATCATGAAAGATCTATAGATGGGCAGCAAATGTCAACCACATGTGGGTGGGTAAGAAGTTGCTGGCAGAGCCTCAGACAGTCCCAGCAGGGAGGACAGATTTGATGATGTGACCTAAGGAACTACCGCAGGGCACTGGCTTTTTTGAATAAATAAAGATGGACTTTGTGAAAAGATTGCTTAGCTTCAAACTTTTCTTCTTTCCAAAAGCCACCCTGGAGGTTGGAACTTAACCCCAGAAGCACTTGGTAGGTTATTCTCAGTTCACCAGATTGTCCACTGGCCACATAATAAACCCATCATAGTTTATTCCAGGGGCTGGGTTCTGTTATTCTTGACGAGCCATTTTTTAAAGAGTCCTAATGTTCTAGGTTTAAGATATTATATATGCTAGAAGTGCAAAGTTCAGACTGTCTGTGTGGCTGTTTATACAAACATGTGTGTACCGTGGAACCTAAGCTTAGATGGTGTGTTAGCCGGGGTTCTCCAGGGAACAGAATCATTGGGATGTTCTATCTATCTATCTATCTATCTATCTATCTGTCTATCTATCATCTACCTATGGAAAGAGAATAAATATATATGCATATATGTATGCGTGTACCTATGTGTCTATCTATCCATCTATTTATTATAAGATACTGGCTCATGCAGTTATGAAGGCTGAGAAGATGTTGCATTAGTTGGGATTCCCAAAGAGACAGAACCATCAGGGTGCCTGTATCTAGCTCCTATCTATTTATCTCTTTATCTGTCCATCCATCCATCATCTACCTATTTATTATAAGGCATTGGTTCCTGCAATTATAGAGACTGAGAAGCCCCCGTATGTACAGCTGACAGGCTCCAGTCCCAGCAGAACTGAGTTCAAATGTAAGTCTGAAGACCTCAGAAGCAGGAGGGGCAAAGTGCAAGTTCCAGTCTGAGTCCAAAGACAGGAGAAGACCGATGTCTCATATTAAAGAAAATTAGACAGAGAGAACAAAGTCTCTTTTTTCAGGTTCTTTCCAATTCAGTGCTTCAGCATTGGGGGAGGCAGTCAGCTTTACTCAGGTGATTGATTCAAACATTACTTCCATCTCCAAACATACTTACAGACATACCCAGAGTAACGTTTAACCCACTACCCAGGCACTCAGTGACCTGGTCAGGTGGAATCAATAACTGTCACGTGTAGACTAGAATTTCCAGGCATCCACTCCCCTCCTCTATTCTTCCTGCCTGCTCTGGAGCACTGAGGTTAAAAGTAAAAATTCATAAATATTCCCACAACATTCCCTATATAAAGAGGGCAACTACCTTGAGAACTTCATCAGAAAATTCAGTGCTGGTTGCTGGATGCTGGATGCTGGTTGGTCTAGTTTGGATCAAGTCCCCATGCCTGGCTATTCACTGTCATTCCAGAGAGGGACTCTATGACCAGGCAGCTGGGGACCTCAGCCAGACCCTGCAGTGAGGAATCAGAGTTCCTGCCCTGACACCAACCCCCTGGGATCCAGAAACATCTGAACTTAAGAAATCAGTGAACTTAGTCTGAGAACTTGCATTTTATCTCCATGATTCTCTTGCTGAAATTGAACATATTCTTTAATGACACATGTAGTCCATAAACTTCGACAGCATTAATAGTGCCTGTGAGTGTGAAATAAATAGGAATTTGTGGCATATTTTACATCACATTACATTTAAGTTCAACATCTCAAAACATCCCTTGAACTCATTACCCCTTTAAAATAGAGCAATTATCACAACTACTGCCAAACCTTGTGAGTTAATGCAGTAATAAAGAAGGAAGGATCTGACTATATTGAGAATTAAAGCCTTTCAGTATAGTTTTACACTCTGTCACCTTTTGAGTTTTTAAAATTTTATTTAAAGAAAGACTAAGCAAAACAGAAAATAGAAATAATACATACATTCAGAGAAAAAAAATAAACAGTAAGAAATCACTAGTTGATGTTTACACATTGTCATTTTACAAATAGTTGTTCAAAGTACAAAAATGGAACATGTAAAGTGGGAATTCATGTAAAGTGAGACTGCAAACAGTTCTGTTCAACTGTCCAACAAAAACTTAGTAACATGGTTGGCAATCCTATACACTTAAACATATATGCATTATACATATCTTCATTTATGTTGAGATTAAACTAACTAAAGCAGGTTAAAATCATTCTGAACAAAGAATAATAGTATTGCTGGATTTCACATGATGACACTCCGTGATCAGCACTGGGTACTGTAGTGTCTTTTTTAAAAAATTTAATTTAAAGAAAGACTAAACAAAACAGAAAATGGGTAGAAATAATACATAATTTCAAAGAAAGAAACAGTAAGAAATCACTAGTTGATGATTACAGATTGTCTTCTTACAAATAGTTATTCAAGATACTAAAGTGGAGCATATAAAGTGGGGATTCAAACGGTGAGATTGCAACCAGTTCTGTTCAACTATCCAACAAAAACTTAGAAATATGGTTATCAATCCTACACACTTAAACATACATGCAGTTATTCATATATCTTCAATTATGTTGAGACTGAATAAACCCAAGCAGGCTAATATCACTCTGAAACAAAGAATAATACTATTGCTGGGTTTCACATCATGACACTCCACGATCAGCACTGGGTATTTTAGTGTCTCTTTTTCTTCAAAGTATCTATTCATTTCATTATGTGTCATAAGATCAGTTCTCATAGACTGTTTATAGATTCTCACATGCATGAGTCTTAACATGCATTTTTATCCTTTCTATATTAGAGGGAGAAACAAAAGAAAGCAAGGCAAAACAAAACATATTCCTATAAACACATGAAATGAAATAAACATATAAGATCATTGTACAAAGAGATCTACCATGGTTCCTGTGTTGTCTCTTGTTATCTCCAATAGAATTGGTTGTATCATCAGATATAGTATAATTGAATATATCAGTACATAACAGTATTCATAAAAACACAACTTTGTATATAGTATAGAACTTCAAAAACTGACAGTTATCAAACCAGAATGTGTATCAGAGAGTCTTGTCATCTTCAGTGTAGTTGCCTATACTCTCAGACTTGATACTATCAATCATAACAGTTTTGAATAAAATTTTCTCTGCCTCATTTTTGTTATGCTCCTGTTTTGCCATCAGTTGTGTGCTTATCTTCTTCATTCTGTTTTCTGCTCCATTCACTGAGGCCTCTCTGCCACTGTACCTGGAATCCTAGGACTTTTCTCTCTCTCTAGAATGCCCTGCAGTATTCTCTGTAGAGTTGGATTGGTGGTTGTGAATTTCCCAAGTTCCTCTTTGTCTTGGAAGCATCTTGTTTCTCCATTAATTTCTAGAGACAGTTTATCAGGGTATATCAATCTGGGATGGAGGTTATTTTCTTTCAGGGCTTGGAGTATTTTGCTTCAGGCTCTTCTTGACTTGATGGTTTGTGTCAAGAAGTCTGTTATTATTCTGATGGGTCTTCCTCTACAGGTTATCTGTTTCTTGTCTCTAACAGCTTTTAATATTCTGTTCTTAGATTGAATTTCTGGAATATTGATTATTATATGCCCAGGTGTAGCTCTGTTTTGGTTGTAGGTGGCTGGAGTTCTGTATGTCTCATATATCAGAATGTCATTTCCTTTCCCTATGTTGGGGAAGTTTTCCTTAATTATTTCTGTGAATAACCTTTGTAGTTCCTTTGTTTGCACCCCAGCTTCTTCATTCACATTCTTTATTCTCGAGTTATAGATCCTTTTGTCATCTCCTAGCCTTTGTATTGTTACTGCTTGTTTCCTTGTTATTTTTAAAAAGTTTTTCCTTTCATACTCCCACATTGCAAAATTGTCCTCCAGTTTGGATAATCTATCCTTAGTTTCTTTCAAGCTGATTTGCCTTCTTTCCATAGAATTTTTAATTTCCTGGTGATCTCTTTGAATCTGCTTCATGTATTCTATATTTTTTATATTTTTCATCAAATGGTTCTCTCATTTGTTTGAGTTCCTCCCTTCTTCTGTCTGTGTCTGCTTGAGGGGAGCTTAGTATCTCTTTTATTAATCTTCTTATATCTTGCTTTATTTGGCTAAATATTTCACTTTTGAACTCATCTATGAGGTCCTGAATATATCTCTTTATGTCCACTGGCCCTGAGTCTTATATTGCATGTTTGCTGTTCTCATTCTCCTTTGCATTTACCTGCCCTGGGTCAGTGTTCTCAAGGTTGGGACCTGGGGACTTTTTGTTGTTGCTTCCTCTTCCCATCTTTTTTTTTTTTTTTTTTTTTTGCTTCTTCCAGGAGGCCCCAGTTTCTTTTTTTGTTGGTTACAATTCTTCTGAAACATGCTGGCTAGGTGACCCTTCCCACAACAGTGTGATAGTGAGTTGCAGACAGGAACAGAACATGCTGGCCCCTCCCCTCCAGATCAGTCAAGCTGCTGTGGCCTGCACTGTATTACTATGCACCACCTCCCCTCTGGGCCAGTGTGGTTAGTGTGCACCACTGCTGCAGGGACTTGACCTCGGATAACCTATTGGGGCTCAGCCAGGTCACGTGACCCAGGCGTAGCTCACTCCACCAATCCCGTTTGGGAAAGGAACAATTGACTGAAGTCACTACTGCCCCTTGTACTTGCCAGTCCTGCCTGGTCCCAAAATGTGGTCCACTGGAGTCCCCCTATTTATGGAATGGCTCCACTCCTGTCACTCACCACAAGTCAATGCAGGCACCCTGCCAACTCAGCTCTCTTTTAGGCTCGCCAACCCCTAAACTCAGTGCAACTGTGCCTCCAGTGAGTCAAAGTGGCGAGACCCTGGACTGCTTGGCAAGTCGTGGTGAGACCTTGGCAAGTCGCAGCAGTACCCCAGCAATTTGCGACAGGACCTCAGATGGTTGGCAAGTCACCTTAATTTCTTCTTGAGACAAGAGAATTCATCTTCCTCTGTTTGGGACTTCCCACTCTGTGTTATGTTGAATTCTAAGTTGAATATCTCAGTGAGCCTCTGTAGCCTGCTGTTATCTATTCATCATTTTTTCACCTTTTGAGTTTTATATTGTGGATTTTAAGACATTTTTCTGGGGCAGGATCTCCAGGCCAAAGGGGCCCCTGCCAGGAAACAGATAAAGCACAACTCTTGTTGCAAAGAATTGTGGGCATACAAAAGAGACACTTGGACATTTGCTGCTTGGATGTGAGCACTTTCACCCATGTAGCCTTCCTGTCCTCAGAGGGCATCCATGTTACATCTACCCAGGGGTGCAGCCTAGAAGTTGTTGAATGAATACTTCCTGCTTCCCTCAATCTTTGGGTGTGGATACACTGGTGAAGGATTGATCTTTAAGACATGTAAGTGAGTCTAAAGTGTTGCTGCTGCTTTGGGGAGCAGAGGTGACCAAATCAGAATGATGGGCTGGCTTCCGAGCCACCGAGGGCCAGAGCACAGAAGCCTGCAGACTTTAGCTGACTCAAGAATGCAATTAGTTCTCTGCTGATCAATCTGGATGTATGAGTTCATACACTGAGATTTTTTCCTTTCCTAAAAGAATTCCCTTCCCTTCTTTATCCCTCCATCCTCCTCTCCATCCCTTTATTTTTATTTTTTATTGGTATATGCTTGTGATGTCTCGGCCCAGAGAGGGACTTATTTCCAAACATATCCAACCCCCCTTTTCCAACACAGACCCAGGGATGCAGATATGTTTTTCTAACTTTGAGGAGGAGATTGCGCGGAAAAAATACTTCCAACTTTCACTGCAAGTGCCTGAGACTCCCTTTTGCCAGAGCTTTGTCATGTCAGAATAGCAGTTTTAAACTCAGGTGAGTTTTGTCTCCCTGACAGGGGTGACAATGTCTGGAGACATTTCCAGTTGTCACACTGGCAAGGGAGTGCTGCTGGCACGTGGAGGGCAGAGGTGAGGGATGCTGCTGAACAACCAGAAAGGCATGGACAAACCCCACAGTGAAGAATTACCTGATGCCAAATAGTAATAGAGCCGATACTGGGAAGCCATTCTAGCGTCTGAGGTTGAGATTTCTACTGAGTCTTTGCGTTCCGTACCATTTGCAGAGAGAGGTGCTAAAACATCAGAAAAATAAAATATAATCAAAGCACTGTCTAATCTCTTTAAAAAACAAAACAGATACAGTTTAACAGGTTACCGCTGAAAGCAGTGGTCCTTTTGTATAAATGAATTTTATTGGTACATGTTTGCAGTACAGGCGTTGTGCAGTCAGCTTGGGGAGCTGCTGTGTGTACATGATACAGCTTGTTTCTGTTTTGCATCTCCTTCCCTCCCTGCGAAACATTTTTCACAGAAAGGGAATGACTCTTGAAGGCAAAACAGAAATGAAAATCATTTCTTTCTACATAGCATTTATATCCTTGAAGTTGTTCAGACAGTTCCAGGCCTGTTACAGTGTCAGCTTGGCTGGCTGTCTCCATGTTTGATCTGTCACTTGAGAAAGTCATTAGAACCAAGATGGAATCACCTGTGTCAAACTTGCAGCAAATGGAGTTGACAGGGAGTAGGGCAAGTGTGTGCATGTGTGTGTGTGTGTGTGTGTGTGTGTGTGTGTGTGTGTTGTGTTGTGTAGGGAGGGCTCCTTGCATGATTTGTCTGCTGACAGCAACTATCAAAGGGATTTTCCCAAACTGCAGCTTGTCGCAAGAGTCACACAAGGCTAGCACCTGCTTACAGAGACACTGGCCTGACACTTGTCTCCATGAACCGACTGATGTCCTGCAGTATACTCCTGTAACCACTGTTCCCTTTGTTTCAAAATGAGTTGCTGTGTACTCCTCCTTTTTACCTTTGAAAGCTTCCCTGTACCACAATGTTCTGTGTATAACCATGGCTTGTTATAACTGTGTGTCCTGGATGGTAATCCCCTTTTACTCACGCATAAATAAATTCTATCTTTCCAAGAGCCATCTTCTCTGTTTTTGATGTTTAGGAATCTCTCTCTCTCTCTCTCTCTTTCTCTCCCTCTCTCTTTCCCTCTCTTTCTCTCTTTTATGTCTGCCATCTATCATCCACCCACCTCTCAATTTATCACCATATATCTATGTATCTATAATCTATCCATCTCTTATCACCCATCATTTTTTATCTATCATCTCTCTCCATCATCATCTATCTATATATTTATGATTTCTCAATCCATCAATCTATTTAATCATCTATTATTTATCCACCATAATCTATGATTTATTTATCGGTCTATCTAATCATCTACTGTCTATCTGTCATCTATCTATGTAATCTATCATTAATCTGTTATGTTTTGAACTTTGACAAAATGAAACAAGCTACTTTCTCTTTGTGTTGTTTATTTCAGTGGTGCAGGACTTGGCTGCAGACTTCCAGTTCTAATTTGTAGCTGGAAGAACCATCAAACACAGACTCTTGCCCCTGAGTAACTTATTTTCTCCCTGCTGTTAGTGGCAGGATCGTCCCCTAGGGCATAGCACGGGTAGCCACAGGCCTAGGTCATCCTGGCCATTCTCCTTACTATGCTGGTCACCTTGGCAGTGGCTCAGAGGACAGAGTTAGTGAGGGGATTGTTTCAGTTCACATTAAAACAAAGCAAAACAAAACAAAGCACAAATCCAGGCAGATTCTGAGCATAACAATTTTGTTGTCTTGTCTCATTTTTCATCATCATGAAAGTGTTGACCCCTTTTGTTTTCTCGTGGACCCACAGGCAGTCTCTGATATTCATTTTAATCTGACTTAATCAGACCAACAAGAGATAGGGGACAGGGTCAGCCTAGAAGCTGGGACACAGTTGTCTGCTCTGTGGCTCCCATGGCTCCTAGAAGCATTGCTCCTGGGTGACTTGCCTTTGCCTCCCAGGGGTCTCACTGCCGGGTGTTATTCAGAGGAAATTCTAGGCTTGAGCTAAAAGAGGAAGGCAGAGTTCGAAGGCACTTGAGGAAAGGGTAGTGGGGGAGAAGTGAGATCAGTGGAGGCCTGGAGATACGATTCCTGCCACCTGCCTGGATGGCTCTCAGAGAGCAAGGCTGAGGCAAGGGGCTGGGGAAGTGAATCCATGAAGATTGCTTGAGGCTGTAGCACAAACAGCTGTCGGGGTTGGGGAGTGGCCAGTCTCTGTCCACCCTCACAGCCTCAGTGTGGCTATGGTAGCCAGGGGGTCCAAGGCCCCTGGTGGAACTGACCATGTTCTTGGGGTGGGGTGCAGATATAAAGGAGATCCGATGTGGCCAGCAGGTAGATCCATAAATGACATTGTTCCTGGGCAGAGGGGAGGCACAAGCACCCTGGACATCCCAAGGTGGGGCTGGGATGGGGTTACTGTCCTTTAGCCAAGATCTTAGCATTCTGCATGAGGGTCACCATGATTGCATTTGCTTAACCTACTTGGATGGGGGTGATGCACAGTTGTACATTCTATCCCTGAGGTATTCTCCAGAATGTAGGGGTTACACAGAATGTGGGTGCAGGAGCCCACTGAGCCCAGACAGCAGGGCAGAAACTCCATTCAACAGCACCGTAACTCTTGGCATCAGTGTTTTGTGGGATAGCCACACTTTCTTCCAGTAAGTTTTATTTTACTCTGGTTTCCAAAAATATGAGTTTTCTTAGATAAAGGAAGAAAGAGCCTGAAGGAAGAGGAAGGGGTGGGACCATGAATTGCATGCTGAGCATTTGAGGTGGATTTGGGTTTGTGAAATACAGCGAATTTTTGTGCCTGGTGGAGAAAAAACTTTGGGCACAGAAAAGTGTGTGAGCTTTAGTTAAAAGTGTTTGCTTATTCATTGGGCACTTATTCTGTGCCACGTGCCAGCACGCTAGCCAGGAATAAGACACAGTCCCTGCTAGAGAAGAGCATCTGGCCTGATGGGCCCCTGCCTGGGGCTGAATGCACCTTCGGAGTCCCAAATACTATCCGCCTCACTTCTTTCTCTGTGCTTTCCTTTTGTTTTCAGGGAATCTTGGTGCTTTTGTGTGGGGCCCATGCAGGAAATATATTTATGGCTCCTGCAACTTAATTTTGCAGGTACAATAAATTCAGTAGTAGCAGATGGACATGGAGGTAAGCCAGAAGAGGAAGAATTAACAAATGCTGACTTTCTAGGTCAAGCTGAACTTTTGTAGGCCTAAAGATTATTGAAAACTATTTTCATGGTTTCTCTGCCTATTTATCGCCCACATGCAGTGAGGCCAAAGCCATCAAACAGTCACACACCATCTGCTCTTTCATCCCCTTTGTCATGTCTTATAGTTGGATCACTTGGCAAAGAGCTGCAGGAGCCAAACTGTCTCCCAGGAGAGTGTGCACTGTCACTATGGAAGCTTAGGACCCAGAAAATTAAAGTAGCGAAGGAACACAATGGAGTGGCTTGTCTAGTATTTTTGAAATATATTTTTATAGCTGGGATTTGTGGGTGTTTATCAACCCTGAACCTCATCTGCAAAATGTGGGTAGGTAGGCATATAGATCCAGGGAGGAGAATGTCTGATATTTCATCAGCTTCTCAGGGCTGTCTGTCATGGATGCTCATCACCACCTCTCAAAACAAAAGCAAAGGTTTGGAGCCACCTGGTAATAGGATAGCTTCCAATTTTCATTTTTCTCGGTAGAACAGAGGTGGGTGTTTAAACTATCAGGAGGCTTATACAATACTGTTGGATACAGCTAGCAAGCTCACACCAGATACAGAGAGGAGGAGAGAGAGAGGGAGAGAAAAAGAGAGAGAGACAGAGACAGAGACATAGCAGAAACAGGGACAGATAGAGAGAGAGAGACAGAGCAAGAGAGGGGAGGGAGAGACTTTGTAAGAACTGGTTTTTAAAAATCAAATTTTCAGTGGTACATGGTTAAGTTCTGCAGTTTTCACATTTACCAGTGGATCTTTAGACCTTCGTAGGGTCAGACTTATGGTATGCAGGATGGAGTGGAAGAGAAAGTTAGGGTCCTTCATTGAATGAGTATTTCTTGAATAACTTCTCAGTGCTATGATGGGAACATGAAGAGGAAAAGACTTTGCTCAGAGCCCGGCAGGGAAAAAATACACGCAGACAACTAACACAGTGTGGGAAGCCGGTGGTACAGGGGAGTCCAGGAAGCGTAAAGACAGGCATCTTACCCAGCTTCAGATGATCAAAGAGGGCACGGGACAATATTTGAGCCAGGTCTTAAAGGATGAGGGCTGAGTCATGGGGGTGTGAAAGATGGAGAGGATAATATGACCGTGGGTGAAGGGGTGAGAGAAACAGCAAGGTGTGGAACAAAGCAGTGGAGGAAGAAAAGAGGAGGCCAGGAGTAACCAGACCCAAGGGCGGAGACAGGGCAGAGGCCAGGTCCTGCAGCGGGACTCTTCCATGGGACTTCTGAAGCACATGCACAGGGAGCTGGTGGGGCTGTGTGCACAGAACAAGGCTCCTCCCACTGCTCCTTGAGGCCACAGCTGCAGGGGAGAATCCAGGAAGTGCCGCCACAGATCACATTTTTAGGGGATCCTGTGGATAGCCCCAGTCAGAAAGAATGCAACCTGGAGTGAAATTTCTGCCTCCTTCTTTGAGTGTTGGGTTTTATAAATTCTTATGATGAGGAACTGATATCTGCTGGTTTGGTGGCCTTTGGTGGGAAACAGACCCCTTGGAGTTGCTTGCACTGTTGAACATCTCGGAACAGTGACACTCATTGCCTTTTCCAGAGTCTGTTCTCAATGTTTGTACAATGAGAAGCTCTGGAAGACAGAATGTGTGTCTTCTTCCAGAGCAAAGGACAGGTGTGTTTACTTCCCATAAAACATATGGATTCCCGAGGTGCAGGGCTCCTATCTGATAACATACCTGTGTGGGTTCAGGCATCGCTTGAACTTTGCCTCGCTGTGGAAACTGGGCTTGGAGAAGCTTCAGAAAAGCCGTTACTCTGGCCACTCCTATTATGAGCACTGAGTCTCTGATCCAAGTATCTTGTGTCCTCTAACACTGTCCATGAAACTGTGGCTGGCTATGTCACTCACCTTGAGCTGGGGCCACTTTTACAAATGCCATAAATCAGGTGGCTTAAAGGTAGCCATTTATTTGTCTCAGTTCTGGATATTGG